AGTTCTTGATCGTGAAATTGTGCGTGCCCGAATACCGGATATACATCAGGAAATCAAGGAGGTCAGCTACTACTATTTCAAATTTTCACTTGATTTGGCGCTAAGTATTTGCGCAGAAGAAATCGCAGGTTTGGAAACTAGAGTTTGACAGGTTACTGTGCCTCAGTAAGGCAGAGGACCGGGCACCAGTAGTATAAATGATATTGCTGTACTTTGATGCTGTGATCAGACATTATTTCACATAATGCGCACCTCTCTTCTACTAATGAGTCTGACAAACTCATTTATTGCCACGTACGGAGTCTATGTGCAAATAAGTCTGAGCCGAGAGAGAATCGAACTACTCGTCTTCACATCCGGACCCTTTCTTCTGATCACTGCATTGTCGGTCCATACACTCAATGGGCATACTTTAACTTATATCAAGAATTACTTTAATGGATCCGCATTTTCTTTTGTAATTTTATTCAAAGCCGCATTATTGCTTGATCAACTTACTGATGATCACAGCACTCATTTTTTTTCTGACTTCTTCCTAATTCCCCAAAGCGATTCACCAGAGAAAGTAATGAATCCTGTGCTACAATAACATCCAAGTACTTCTTGATTATCACAAACTAAAATCATTTAAATATCATCTAGTAAAATGCTATCAGGTATGTGGTCAAGTAACAATCTGCAACATTCATGTCTCGAATTATCGTCCGCCGTGCCGTCTGCAAATATATCCTTCACCACCGAACCTTATTGTTCTCCGTGTGGAAGATTTCGATGTCGGGTTGGCATTTCCATTCTTTCTCGTTCTTCCAACAAAACTATTTTTCCTGGTCGGCTTAATCTTTATGATAAGTGACAAGAGCAGTATTGATAAAGTGACCACTAAAAATGTAACATTCAAGCAAGTGCTTAGTCAAAATGGAGGCAAAATAAATTATATTTGTTCCCGAATTTTTAGAATTTTCTTCTTTAGCGCTTTTGACATCACTGAGTTAAATTAAATCACTTCCGTCCTCGGACCTCTTCGCTTGACTGCCTAAAATTCCTCTCCGTATTTTTCATAGACAAAATGATGCGAACAAAAAATGACTGAGAAAAGTCACATGATAATTTGCACAAGCAGTCTGTGGAACTTTTTGTAAGTTCTACGCAAATTTGGCGCAGCGTTGGAACACTGTTCAAAATATAAGTTGCAGGGTGACAGGCAATCTAGACGGCATTGCGAATATCATTCTCCCGATCAAGCTATTCGGCATCGTGCACGCCAACTTCTATCACGTTAGAAATTCTTCAGGATCCACTGTCCTCAACTAAACCACTACTCAACCAGTGGCTTTACAGGTGTCAGCGACGATAACGCTGGCTCTGGAGCGATCACCGTATGGGACTCCGTACGTAATCGTGTGTGGATGCGACATCCACATCCCGTACGCTGACGTGTGCATTCAGTGTGGCGGTCTCGTCGGCGATCTAGCCAACATGTTCATGCGGGTAATGACAAATGCATCCATCCAAGATTCTTAAACTTCCATGCCTAGCCATTCATTTTAAAAAGTCAGAGCTCCAGGGGAATAGGCCCGGATCGGCGATTATGGAAATTGACTCATGATGCAGTAGCGCAACCATGATCCTGAATAAACAAGCAATTGTTTCCCAGGAGCAAAATTAGCAAGACCGAGTTTTCCCAAAACAAATTCTAAAATTTATATTTATTAATTGATAATTTTGTGCTCGAACAGCCCAGCAATCCTTGGATATGTTAAATTGTTGCCCTATATGAACATTTGGTAACAATTTAATTTACGGCAAAAAATTACCAACAACCAAGCACATTAACATTGCCCATGACTGGCAACATTTGAAAAGAGGCGGCGATTCTCAAAACAGTACGGACATCTGCTGCTTCTCTCAGAAAAACCGTTGAGTTGTATGTATCATGAATCAACGAAACGAACGCCGGGACCGCTAGTAAGCTGACCACTGGACAATGCAGCGTTGGTTAACGCAACTGGACAAGTTACCATATACAACACAAGAGAAGAACCAGGCTTGATTTGTAACTGGTCCAATAATCAAAGTATTTGTTACTAATAATTTCTTAATTAACTTCTAACTGAGGCATGAAGGACAGGCTTCGAAAAAAGCCTGAAAGTGCTCCACTACATTTTAGGACAAAGTCCCAAAATTTTCCCCTCTCCTGCAGAAAACATTTTGGAAAAAAAACCAAACCATACTGAAAATTTTTTTATTTCTAGCCATCTGTTAAAAAGGACCCAGCATAGCTGCGTCCGGTTTACAGGAGCATCCCAGTAACATCACTGCTCCGGCTATTCCGCTGTTGTTTTTGGTATGTTTGTTAAACTTTGAATGTAACGTTCCGGAAATTGAGCTTCTTTCAGCGACAATTATCAGAGCAAGTGCGATCGATGGTACCGGACCGGATCTGTCAGATGCTACCTCAGGTGATCAACGAAAAAGTGAATCCGCTACTCGCCCGCATACCGCAATCAATTCCATTCAGTCAAATAGCATCCATAATGTCTGGGCTTCTTGGCCCCTCTGCGCCTGCCTATGTTAGTCGTTTCACACATCAGTCTTTCTCTAATTTAACATATTGCGAAGCAACTGATCAGTTTATATCATTAAAAAAACAAAAGACTGCACAAGGCCGACATACTTTGTTATTAATGAAGTGTGCGATGACGGTACGTAATTCAGGATGGAAGAGCCCGACGCAGCTGCACCCGGCGTGTGGTAGCTTCCCAGTAAAGTAACTAGTCTGAGAAACTCACATCGTCTGTCTAGGCAGCCTTGATATTCTTGGCATTTTCCACTGTAACATTTGCTTGACGGCATTTTCTAAAAGTAACTCTTGGAGCAAAACTGTTTCATTTCAAAATTACTGGCCCAATTAGAATTTTTTTCGAGAAAGCACTCATTATTAGTTCTGCTTGATGATATCGGTACGGCTCGGACATCGGAATAGACAGCCTAGCATTTTGTTAAACTTAACGTATACAGTTTTTGACGTACGTTTTGTTGTAAATATCTTTGGAATTCGGCAAGAAAGTGTGCGTTGCTCACGGTAGCGAAGTTAAACGCTCTAGCGTGAACGTAGAGCAATATGGCACATAAATATAACAATTTTAAATGAGCTTCAAATAATATGTGTCACTTGAGCTACGATTACTTTGTGTGGGGAACAAGGGTCGTAGACCTGGCTGCTACAATCTAATCAACATAAGATTTAAAGAATTCGAAGAAAGTGAAAAAGATAGGCTTCGGGTTCCTCCCAGGCCATCCAGTTTGCGAAGAGAGCACGTCACTGCTCTCAAATTTTGCTAGCACCCTAACTGTTAGCGCAGGACAGAGAATCATAAAATAAGCAAAATTTTATTGAGCTTTCTACATTTCAGTGCTATTCGCCACAGTGCCAGATAACCACAACCACACCGCCACCACCACCACTGCCACCGCTGCCATCCGACACGGGTTCTGCTGCAGGGCCACCAAACAATCCGCCGGCGCCGGTGTTTGATCAGGACGCCGGCGCAGGAGCTGCTCCTTCCGGAAACGGAGGTGCAGTAGCGCCCTCACAACAAGTGGCGCCGCCACCTCAACCGCAACCTCAAGCTGCACCGCAACCTCAGCCGCAACCGCAAGCAGCGGCCGTTCAACCAAATTATCAACAAAGTGCCGGTTCTGGTGGCACATGGTCTCAAGCAGCTTCTGTTAATGGTAACACTGGTGGTACTGCGAGTGTAAGCGGAGGTCAGGCGCCTGGTGCTGCTAGTGTTTCTGGAACTTCTGATGGCGTGCAGCCTAGTGGTTACGGTAATCGAAAGCGAACTGTTGCATCTGGACAACCTCTTCGGAAGGTTTGTTCTCATCTACATTCACATTTACATTTTATTCAATCGCCGAACAAGACACATATATACTTACATACACACATATCATGCGCTTGGTACGTAAAAGAAACATAAAAGAAAAAAAATTGGCCAACGCACGGGCTGCCCGTGCGAAGATGCGTTTTTTGCAGAGTTCC